AATTGGGTAACTTGGTACTATTTTCTGTGTCTTGGGGAATCTGCAGAATTTGAGGAGAATATCTGGTGGGAGTTTTAGGAGATTGAATACGGGTGTTGGCAATCCTGCCAAAGCCCTTGCTGATTACGCTTCAAAGGCTGGTAATTGCTTTATAGGAAAATGCAATTTGTGTATTGTTTATGTTATTATTCAAATTGAGTATTGCCAAGGGGTTAACATCCTCATCTAATGTAGGGCATGATCGGAAATGGATCAACCTTGGAGCTTTTAGTACTAATTTTGGTTCAACAAGGTCTATTCATGGAACAGGTAGTTTCCTTACTTCTGACGGTTGTTAGATTCTTTTGTATTTGAATCTTGTAACCAGCTTTTGATATTTTGAATACCAGCTTCTTCATCTATCTCCTCTAAGGACTACTATGAACTTCTTGGAGTGAGCAAGAATGCCCCAGAAGGTGAAATCAAGAAGGCTTATTATGGGGTACGGACAATATGCTTGACTGTTTGCATCGTTTAGTTTTTTTTTTTTGTGGATTGGATCAAATCTTTTCATTTTCATAGGCCTGCTGGTTTCTCATTGATTGATGCTATTGTTTGTATCTTGTTCCAGCTTGCTAAAAAATTCCATCCTGACACGAATAAAGATGACCCAGAAGCTGAGAAGAAGTTCCAGGAGGTCTCTAAAGCATATGAAGTGAGTTGGACAGCTTAGACGAAATCTTTTGGTGTATCATCTGTTAGAATCTTACACTGAAACTAGTTTGGGTCTTTTTGGATCAGATTTTGAAAGATAAAGAGAAGCGTGACCTTTATGACCAGGTACATAGGCCTCTTAATATTTGTTGGTTCCGTTACAGCAAGCTGGCATGTCTTTGTGATGCTCCGTCTGATGTGATCTAAGTTTGTTGTCATCTCTGCAGGTTGGGCATGAAGCATTTGAGGAAAATGCTAGTGGTGGGTTTCCAAATGATTCAGGCTTTGGTGAAGGCTTTAACCCATTTGATATCTTTTCGAGCTTCAATGACAATGTAATACCTTTCTTTCTTGGTTTCTATCTATCGTGTTCCACTCAAAAGAATATTGTTTACTATTTAGATAGCCTTCAGTCATTTTTTCTTTCAAATGGAAATGGCTAACATATCAACATTCAAATGTTTTACATGTTAATCAGCTCTTCGACGGCATGTTCAGGCGAGATATCGGAGGTCATGATGTTAAGGTATTACGATTTGCTTATTTTCCCAGAGATCATTTTTCTTCTCCAAGATTAATACGTTTCTCTCTATTTCCTTCTTTACTGTTGTAAGGTTTTGCTTGATCTTTCTTTCATGGAAGCTGTTCAAGGATGCTCCAAAACTTTGACTTTTCTAACCGATGTCGCTTGTAATACTTGTGGTATGTATATATTATTGCAATCAAAGTATTTTAGATGTTGTTATTGTCTCTATATCAAGTTATTTATTGCTGTTTTCTTTCCACTCTCACTCAGGTGGACAAGGTGTTCCTCCTGGTACCAAGCGTGAAAAATGTAAACCTTGTAATGGGTCTGGGATGGTCAGTATAATGTTACAAAACTCCTGAGCACTGTAATTATAATTTTTGTTTTTATTATGGTTTTAAAGTGTTACAGTTACGTTTTTCAGACAACAATGAGAAGCGGTATGTTAAGCATCCAAAGAGCTTGCCAGAAGTGTGGTGGAACTGGTCACACATTCTCAGTATGTCACATATTATATTGTTACACCTTCTGTATCATATGCGTAGCGTTTATTTGTGTATGAATGCCTACATATACGTGAAGACACACACCCTCTTCTGTTAGATTTATCTTAAATGTTTGGTCCTTAATTAGGCTTCTATAATTATTGCATTGCTCATCAATTTTCTTGTGTTGGTATTACTAGAGTTTTTGCAAATCCTGCAGAGGGGCTAGAGTGGTTCGAGGACAGAAGTCAGTGAAAGTCAATATTGATCCAGGTAATTTGTATTGCATATCTATAGGTAATAGAAAAATCGTGCAGTCTTCATCCCATTAACCTCTTCAATTGTTCACATTTATTTCACCTTCCAGGGGTTGACAATAGCGAAATATTAAAGGTGGCAAGGGTTGGTGGGGCTGATCCTGAAGGTGACCAGCCTGGAGATCTTTATGTTACTATTAAGGTGACTTAACTGAAGGCAACTTTCTAATGGACAGTCATAGTTAGAAATGGCATTGCGTTCTCAATAACTCGGATGTATTCCTTTTCAGGTTCGTGAAGATCCTGTGTTCCGCAGAGATGGATCAGATATTCATGTGGATGCAGTTCTCAATGTTACCCAGGTGAAACAACATGCTCTTCTCAATCCTGTCTCTAAAAGTTCATAGGTGCATTTGTCTTCAGCACTTGTTTTGGGCATCTAGTGCAGTATCCATGAGCTCTATTACCATTATTGTAATGTTCCTTGTAACTAAGTATATTCTTCATCTTTTGTCAGGCTATTCTTGGAGGAACTATTCAAGTTCCAACCCTTACTGGTGATGTTGTCGTGAAGGTTTCTGAAAGCTTTGCACATTTTTTTACATGTTTTAAGATTAACTTTGGTTATATCAACGGCCAAAAATGGTTGCCACGTGAAATAGCATTTGCCAGCCAATGAAGCATTTAATAAATGCTTTGCTTCTGAACTTCGGAGTTTCTTGTTCTTTATGAAAAAGCAGATCAGAATTTTGTTTGCTAGCTAAACGCAATGGCTGATCTGGGATTTTCTCTAGCAATCTAACTTGGATACTCTTTTGTTGCAGGTCCGCCCTGGAACCCAACCCGGTCAGAAAGTTGTGCTAAGAAACAAAGGTGAGCTCTTTTGCTTGTGTCCATTAGTTCAGTTGTAGAGTACCTGAAAGATGAGAAACATTTGAGTAGGATCTTCTTAGCTTGATATATAATTAGCGTTGCACTGGAAATTGAGAGCTAAACAAGAGAAAGCAAGATCCTCAAATCCATACGGAAGCTGGGGACAGAGTTTGAGAAACCTAGTGTTAAGTAGATTCTTGTTCGTTAACTTATCAAATCACATGTGTTTGTTTACAATAAAAACAGGTGTTAGAGCAAGAAAGTCGACTAGATTTGGGGATCAATATGTGCATTTCAACGTCAGCATCCCTATGTAAGTCCCATAAAGCCCCAAGTAGATTGTGTTTGGAAATGATATAATAGTTAGGTGCCACATTGCAA